CTTCTTTTATCTTATATGCAAGAATCACTGGATGTTTAAAAATCAGTCATGTATTCATTGAGGTTCCTAGCACAGGGTGAGGAGTTAGCGTGTCTACATCTAAATCACACTCTTGTCAACTGGTAATGTGATCTTCAGGTATTTGCTTATAAAAATTTTACCTCAGTTTCTTCAATGATGTAAACGGATAAGACTAGTACACTTTTCATGGAGTAACTGAAGATCACATAAGAGTTATGTAAAAATGTTTATGGAATATTTGGTGCCTATTAAACATGAGGGGGTGGGGAGGAGATAGGAGGAAGAAAGGAGGAATTCTCTTCCTCCATTCCTTCAGGAGGGCAGACATAGAAGCGTGGATCACTGGTTTTACTCCTTCATCCCACTCCATATGCCTTGTCTGGTCATACAAGGTATTTAGTTGAGAATACCTGTGTCTATGACAGAAGCCAACTGTATTTAATTTGAAACTAACAAATTAGGGTGTTATTAACATAACACACAGAAGGATTTTGCATAGATTTCTTTAAGCAGTGAGACCACCTGGAGTTTTAAAAATAGACTTTGTGTTCTTGCCCAGTTTCTGGTGGGCTACTGATGGGGGTAAGATGCCACACCTGGTGTTGTTTCATAATGTGTTTGGCTGAGGATGTGGAACTTAGGAGGCACAACCAGGCTACGGCAGAGGGGTGTGCGGCAGAGGCAGATGGGGGCGCACATCTTACTTCATTTCTCCACTGGCTCCTCAGCTTCTTAGTGGGGCATTGGGCACTGGGAAAATGCTTAAAATTCTAAGTTTGGTTTTGCCTTGCTACCAATGCACAAGTGAGTTTTTCTTTTTGTTTTCCCATCTTTAAAGTGGATGGGGTGGATGGGATGAACTGGCAGCTGTGCTGCGCCTGGCATCCTTGGATTCAGACAAAGTGTGTGTGGATCGGTGCAGACACAGTGGCTGACGTCTCCCTGGACTCACCGACCTTGCTGGAACTGGGAGGGCTGAGGGCAGAGGAGTCCACCAGGAGCCTCAGAGGACGTCTGTGGGGGACCGAGGGGGACATAAAGTTGGGTTCTCTTTTGTCCTTCACTTGAGAAGGGAAGAGGAAGCCTCAGGGGCCAGACTGGGAGGGGGCGAATCGTGCAGAGGCAAGTAGAAGTCTTGGTTTTATAATTGGGCTCATTAGAGAGAAAGTTCGTTAACCTCTGAGTGAAACATTTGGGAAATTAATGTTTGTTCTTCTCAGAAACTCCTCAGAGGATGCTAGAAAAGTTCAGGGAATTCAATTTTCTGATCTTAATTTTCTACTCCCTATACCTTAAATGCTTCGGGCTTCTCAGTCTAGCAAACGTTTCCCTCAGGTCTCCTTTCTGTGGGTTTTAGAGTAGACTGACCCTGTTCTATTTCCCCGTAACTTTCCTAGAGAGAGAGACATTGAGTGCTGGGGGTGGCAGATGGCGGTGGCGATATGGTGGCGCATGGTGAGTCCATGGCGAAGAGTGGTTTTCAGCAGTCCCAGCAGGTCCTGAGTCGGTTGCATCTGCTGAGCCCTTCCCGGGTGGGCAGGCGCTCCGTGGGTCTTCCCCACACACCGGCTCCTTTCACTGCTGCTATTCTTGCTGCCACGCAGGGGGAGGCTTTCTTCCATTGCTCACTGTTCGCTCGAAGGCAGAGCTTCAAGGTCATCTTGTTGAAGTCTCCCCGTGTGGTTCAATGACAGATGAGAACGTTGCCTTCTCGCTTGGCTGGGAGCAGAGATCGCAGTGGTTCCCACCGGTGCCTGCTATGGCCAGCAGTCAGTAAGGACAAAAGCAAGCTTTCCGCTTTCCGAATCAACTGCTGAGTTCAGTACTCCGCAGGAATGTTCTTTTGAGAAGTTCAAGGGACCTGCCTAAGACATTCTTATCTGACTTTCTCTGGGAGAAAAAAAGAATTAATCTGAATGGAAATTAGCTTACACGGAAGCCCAAATTTTGCTGAGGAATAATCTTGAACCGAGATTTCTAAGTTTCCTAATCTGTTTAATTTTTAACACACTCTTTATATTTCTTTGATCATTTTGTCTCTGGACATTGTTAATGAAATAAAATCCTACTTTCTTGGGGTTACTGAGTGCCAGTGAATCAGTTTTCTGACTACAATAGGTCTGGGAGAGAAGTTTAAGAATCAAGGCAACAAACTATACTCAAGGTAAATTACTTCACTAAATCTCTTGGGGTATGCCTGGAATTATTTTTTAAAAAGCTTATTTTTGAGACTAGATTCCTTTCCCCTATATATATTTTTTTTTTCAAAAATTTTTATTAGTTCATTTCTGCAGTGCATAATGATTGCATTCCTTGTGCGGAGTTGGCAATGCACATAACGCATCTTAGTTCTTTATCCACCCCTTTCCTCTCCCCGTCCTCTTTCTCCCTCCATGCCTTGATCCTCTTCCCTTTTGCAAAAGATCTGTCTCCCTCCTCCCTACTATCTAGCTTTTATTTTGCTCTTTATTTATACTTTGGGTTTCTCATTATAAGAGAAACCATGTGTGTCTGTTTTGTTTCACTTAACACTATGGCCTCAGAATGTATCCATTCTCCTACAAATGAATGAAGTTTGTCCTTCATTACCTTTGTTCTGTTTATAGAATACCCCTAGTATTACCTTGACTTTGTGTTTTTGTTTTTTGGTACTGGGGATCGAACTTGGGTCCTTGCATTTGTGCAGCAGGCGGCGAAACCACTGAGCTGAATCTGCGGCTCCACCTTAACTTTGAAATAGGTGTAGTAGCAGACGAAGGAGTCAGGGATCACAGCAAAATCACTAATTAACATCTCCAGTGTCCCCAGGTCTGTGCCAGGTGCTATGGAGGATGTAAGAGTCCCTCCAGCTGCCTTTGAGAACTTATATGGCCCTGGGGAGACCCGACAGGTCTGTGTGACACACTTAGGCCACATGCTAGAGGCAAGTTCTCAAGTCCCCAAGGCAAATCCATCAAAGGTCATTTCCTGGACACCTCAGTTTCTCTGACTGCTGTCCTCTTCCAGACCTCTGTACTCTGCACCGACTATTTGGGTAGAAATTCCACTTTGGGCAAGTCAACACTTAGCTTGGACCACCTTATTGCTAATTCCCTCACTCCTTAGTGTTTAAAATCCTGCTCCTCTTCTTGGCTTTGCCTTGGCTGTCTGTTGGATTCTCTTCTCTCGTCCTGTCTCCATCTCCCTCCCTTCCGGAGGGCAGTACTGGGTCAGCACCAGGGAGGGAGCTGATGAATGGGATAGGCGGAGAAAGGTGTGGACAGAAGCCCCGAAACGTGTGGTGTCCTGGGCCCCGGATTCTCTGCTATACGATGTGGAGTCCAGAGGCTTCCAAAGGGGAAGCTGGAGGAGAGGTGCCTGTAGCTGATTTCTCTGGGGTAGGGTAACTTTAAAATTTGATAATCACCTTGAGAACTGATAACCACATCTTGCTCTGCTAGCCTTCAACATTCTTGGATAATGAAAAACAGTAACAGCAACAACAAATCATTTCTTAAAATCTGAGGTCTAAAGTGGTCCTTACAAATCCTTTCAGAGAGAACTGACACCCTAGATGAGCAGCAGCTGTAGAGACAGAGGGCACTTGCTGTCAAGCGAAATTTCACAGAAAATACTCATCTCTAACAAGAGTTATTTTCCCCTTGAGAGTAAAGCCTGCTCAGGCAAAACTCCTGCCTTCTGCATAAATACTGTGAGAGAGGCACCAGCATATCAGTGAGGAAGGAAGGGGAAGGACATGATAGCAAGAGGATAGAGTGATGCCTGGCATGTAAAATAAGAAACAGGCTCAGAGAGGTTTAGACACTTGTTCAAGGCTACACAGCTCTTATTTGAACCGAGGTCTATATTTTTAAGCAGTAAATGCTTTTACCACTTCTCTTACTTCAGCAGAATACGTTAACGTGGTTGCATAAGAAGAGCATTAATCAGTCTCACCTTCGAACAGAGCATGGAGTGGATTTTCTGCACTGATGGCTGGAGTTTCTCAGTGCTGCACACTTATGAAACCAAACCGGCTCCCTCTGAGGCACAGAAAGAAGCTAAAGAATCCAAGCACCAACCACTGTCCTTGAGGTGAGTATGGTTACGAGTCAGAAGACATTTCAGTTATTAGTTGATTAATTGCTTAAACTGTGATGAAATCCATGTAACACAATTTGAGCATTTTTAAAGTCCAAAATTCACTGGCTCAGAGTTCACTGTCACTGTCACACAATCACCACCATCGTCCACATCTGCAAACCCTTTCACTGCCCCACACTGAAGCTCCACCACCAGACTCACTCTGCCGTGTCTTCTGCTCAGCCCCTGGCCAGCATATCATTTCCCAATTCTGTGGATCTCTCTAGTCCAGATGGACTCATGCAGTGTTTTTCTCTTTGTGACTGGTTTAGCATGTCGCTTTGCATATTCAATCTTTTTCCTTTTTATAACATAGCCAACTGTTCTAAGGGCTTGTTGTAAGATATCTAACAGGAACCCTGGGACACTGAATGTTTGGGATGCATTTCATTCCATGCTGTAGGGGACAGGGGAAGGGGACGTTACCAGAACCTCTGCAGTTAGTCCTGGTCTCCTTCGAGCCATGGCAGCACACGGCGAATTATAGGAAAGGTAGAAAAATGAGACCGAGAAGAAGCTGAGCTTTGGGTCTGATCAGTGCTGCTCTGGGCAGCAAAGACAAAGCCCCCAGCTTACCACACCTTTTATTCAGTACATCGGGAGAAACAAATGTAACAAATGACTTGCAGAGAGTTCAATAGTTCACATTAGGATAAACAAGATGTAACGGAAGGCTTGCAGAGAGTTCAGTACATCTCCGGCAAACAAGATGTTAATCAGTCCAAGAACAATGAGGAACTGAGCAGATGTTTGTTCTCCCAGGATGTTTCTTGTCCTGGAGAATCACAGCATCACTGGATCACTTAAGTCTCAGTTGTGACCGGAGGCCAAACTGGAGTTATTCTGTAGCTGGGCTGTAGGCAAGAGAACTAGGCTAACCAAATGATTTATCCCTAGAATTATGTAGCATTGCTCCCAACACCATGCTCTGCCTGTCTCTTGCACCAAGAGCTCCATAATGAATCCCCACAACACACATCAGGAGCAGGGTGGTAAGGCTGACAGAGACATACTCAATTATTCTCCTCTAGTTTACAATTCGTTCCTAACACTTGTGAGGTTAGGAGCCTGATTAGCTTAATAGGATGCAGATATGGAGTGGAGGAATTCTATCACTCACTGTAAAAATACTGGCTCCATGTTCTGTGTCAGGCAAGACTGATTAGAAACTGCTATTTTGTAGTTGATACAAGTTTTTCTTCATTAGTAAGAGATGTAGTGTAGTCACCTCCATTTTGAGAAATACAGAGCTTGTTGAAAAGGAGCTGTAGGGGCAAGTGAGCAAAGCTCTCTGAGGAGCATAAGATGTGCTCTTATTTTTGTTGTGAGGATGAAATCAGCTACTGCCTGTGTCTGGATTGGAGAAAACACTTCAGGGTGGCATTGAAGCAAAGCCAAGTCCACTCTGGGCATTGTATCAAGCAGCAGATAGATAACCACTGTTTTGTCTCTTGTCTCACGGAGTCTGCACTTTGGGGAAACCCAAGGCAGAGAGTGAATCCAAGAGGAAGCAGAATGACAACAGATCTCCAGGCCTGAGAAGGATACTCGTGATTACTGAGGAGACTTCTGACTTCTGTGATTCTGGGCTGTAGACCCTGCACTTTAGAACATGGTGGCCAGAGGCAACGTGACTGAAATCATTTTCTTGGGATTTTCCCAGAAGGAGAATGTGCAGAAGGCCCTTTGTGTGATGTTTCTCCTCCTGTACGTGGCTGTTGTGCTGGGCAATGGCTTCGTCGTGGTGACCATCATGGCCAGCAAAGGGCTAGCCTCCCCCATGTACTTCTTCCTCGGTTTCTTGTCCCTGGTGGAGCTCTGTTACTGCTCAGTCACAGCCGCTAAGCTCATCTCTGACAGTTTCACCCGGAAGAGAGTCATTTCCCTCCGGGGCTGCATCATGCAGATCTTCTTCCTCCACTTCCTTGGTGGCACTGAGATCTTTCTTCTGACGGTGATGGCCTACGACCGCTACGTGGCCATCTGCAGGCCCCTGCACTACGTCAGCGTCATGAACCAGCGGGCCTGTGGGCTCTTGGTGGGCGCTGCCTGGGGAGGGGGCTTGCTGCATTCTGCGGGGCAGACCTTCCTCATTTTCCAGCTGTCCTTCTGTGGCCCCAACGTCATCGACCACTACTTCTGTGACGTGCACCCTGTGCTGAAGCTGGCCTGTTTTGACACCTTCCTCCCCAGCCTGCTGATCATCCTCAACGGCGGCTCCATCTCGGTGGTCAGCTTCTTGGTGCTGCTGGCCTCCTACGCGGTCATCCTGTGCTCCCTGAGGAGCTGCACTTCCACCGGGCGGAGCAAGGCCCTTTCCACCTGTGCCTCTCACCTGGCGGTTGTGGGCCTCTTCTTCATCCCCTGCTCCTTTGTCTACTTGAGGCCCTGCGTCTCCCTCCCTGCACACAAGATAGTGGCTGTGTTTTACACGGTGGTCACACCCCTCTTAAATCCTGTCATCTACTCCTTCAGGAACGCGGAGATGAAAAATGCCATGCGGAGACTCATGCGGACGAAAGCCGTTGGGGAAGAGAAGTAGATGACCCACTCGGGCAAAACGGAGAGTCAGGATGGGGAGCAGGGGCACCTAAGAACGCACGCAGCCCATTCCTTACCTTGGTCAGTCACCCACTTTATTGACATTTCAGCCCCTCAGCATTATGGACCTGGACAAGAAGGATGGGGTCTCTAGGCTGGAGTAAGAGGTGTCTTCAAGTGTGGCAGTGGCCTTGAGGCAGGTTGGCTGGTCCAGGGGGGATGAACCTCTCCAGAAAACTAGGGTGGCTGGGGATGGTGCAGAGGGAAGGGAGGAGGGAGTTGCTTTAGGGACACCGTGGTCTGGTGTGCTCTTGGTTCAGACAGCCTGAGTCTTTGGTCTGGAGACGCGGCAGGGCAGTGAGGGACACAGTGGTCGCTGACTTGACTGGAAGGCTTGGCCAGCTGGGTTCTGGGGCAGGCCAGGAGGACTTAGAGGGGTTCAGACCTCAGCCAGAAGATGCAGGCTCCAGGGGGGGGTTCACGCAGGCTCATGCTAGTGCAGACTCGGGGGTCTAAAGAACCAAATGGAACCACAAATTGATTTTAAGAGATTGGACAGCATCAGACAGGGAGACAGTGCTGCCCACCTTGTGGGAAGGAGTTTCATTTCCTGTGTATCATTAACTTTCCCCAGTACTGGAGGTTGACCCCAGTGCCTTTGCACTGCATCCCTGGGCCTGACCTTCCCTCCCCTCCCCTCCTGTGCCCCCCAGTCTTTTCTCCTGTCCTCTCCTGTCCCCTCCTCTTCTGCCCCTTCACTGATTTTGACATAGGATCTCTCTAAGTAGCTGAGTTGCCCAGGCTGGCCTTGACATTGGAATCCTCCTGCCTCAGCCTCCCAAAGTGCTGGGATTACAGGTGTGCACCACCACACCCAGCTCATTATCATTTTGCTCTGTCAAATTTTCCTCTGTTCACACTTGTTTGCCTTTCATTTGCTCCTGGTTTCCCTTCTTAAGCCCCTGGTTTTGAGTCCTTAGTTTTGCAGCCCCAGCAGCCTCTTGGCTTCTTCCACTTTGCAGGTGCTCAGCAAAGCCCTGGGGCCTCCCTCCCAGACACCACCACGCTGTCCCACCTGCTGCCCCAGACCCCGCTCCTCCCACCCTTCATCTGAGAGCTGCCTGCCGACTGGGATGTGTGCAGTTTCACTGCTCTTGCTCCCTCACTGTTGTCCTTTGTATTTGAACCATCTTTTAGTTATCTGAGTCTCATTTCCAGCAGCCACCAGAACACGAGACTGTACCCCCAAATCTGATCCCAAAACCTGCCCCTTGCTCTCAGCAGATTCCCTTCCTTCTGCAAGCTTCCAGATCAATTCCTTTAAACAATTCTCTGATTTCTTCATGCACGTACTAAAATAGTCTTCAATCACTCCCCATTACTTTCTGAATCAGCTATGAGCCCCTGACAGACAGGAAGTACCCTCAAGATGCGACCCTCTCTTCCTGTCTGCCTTTAACCTCAGTTGCACTCTGTTAGTTCCCAGCAGCCCCCTGGGCCTTGCGCCTGTGCCATGTTCCTCATCCCCCCTGCACACTTCCCGCCCGCTCTCCACCGCCCATCCAAAAGCCTCTGCCTCCAGGAAGCTTCCATGATTGTCCTCTCCAGATGTGCCTTTTCATTTTATGAACTCATACAGCGCTCTGAATCCTCTAAGGCCATCACTACCTTTATTTTAGGGCTTCTTCTTCTCCCCCTGGACTTTGACTCCTCCAGGATGGGCCCTGAATGTCACACACCTTTGTGCCTTTCTCTGAATGTGTGGTCCCCTCGCCCCCAGGCTGTGACTTACCAGAAAGCCAGGCTCCTGACTTCTTGCATCTGGCTAATGACTAGCTCAATATCTCACACGCAGCATGCATTCAATAAATATTTATTGAATAAAGAAACAAAGAATGACCTGTCCTCTGTACCTCAGCAAGAGTGAACTCTTGAGATCTCTCCCCAAAATGTGTTCTCCCAGTGGCCCTCTGTCTCATTTGGTAGCAGGTCTGAAGTCTCGACCTAAAACCTCGGGGTCATCCCTCCGTCCACTTCCCCTCATATCTCGCGTCTGCTCTGCTAAGAACTCCTCTTGCTGTTACCTGCACAATGGAAGCTGGTGGTACTGGTGCTCCACCTCTCCACAGCTGCCACAGTTGCCCCTCCTTTGTTCCTGGCTGGTCTCCCCCCAGCCCTAGCCCCATCTGATCCATCCCCAGAGGCTCTCTGTGAGCCCTGCAGCAGCACCAGCATCCCTCGAGGAAAAGCCAGAGTCTTCAGCCCACACACAGCGTCTTGCTTGCTGGGATCCCTTTGCTCTCCAGCCTCCTCTCCTCCCCGCTCCTCCTCCATCCACTCTTTCCCTAGCACTGTGGCCTCCTTCATGTTTGTTTAACCCTAAGGCCTTCCGCCAGCTTGGCGCCTTGGCCCTGGAACACAATTCCCCTTGATATCTATTGGCCGACTTCCTCATTGTCCTGAGGCTTTGTGTAAAAATCACTTCTATATTTAGGGCAATTTGACCGTGTGTTTAAAGTTGTAGTCTTTCAGGGCCCCCAGTCTCCCTTGCCCTGCTCTGCGTTTTCTTAGTTTTGTAGTACATAGCACCTTTATACATGTGGTTTGGTTAACTTGTCACGTACTCATGAGCTCCATGAGGCAGTCTCCATGTTTTTGTTCTCAGAGGCATTTCCCATGTCTGAACATTGCCTGGCACATTGTAGGTGCTCAATTAGTCTCTCTCCTCCTACTTTTTCTTCCTCTCTCTCTCTTTCTCTCTTTCTTTTTTCTTTTTGCAGTACTAGGAATTGAACCATGGAACCCAGGGTCTTCATGCTGAGTTACATCCCCAGCCCTTCTTTTAATTTTTTGCTTTGAGACAGGGTCCAGCCCAGTTGCTAACCTTCAATTTGTGACTCTCTTGTCTCAGCCTTTCAGAGTACAGGGATTACACTCAAGCTCATCATGCCCAGCTAGTATTTCTTATTAAATGAATGAATGAATAAATAAATTATAGTTAAAAGAGATACAAAGTAATGACAAAGTTTAAGAACATGATGGTGAAACTCTAATATATTTGGAACTGATTCCTAAGAAAAAAGCTATTAAAATTATCTTTGAAACCACTCTTGAAGCTAATTTATTGGTAAAAATGTTTCAATTGCAGGCCTGTGGAAATAATAACTCAGTGTTGAGTCATAAGTTCAGTGCATTTTTCTCTCCTTTTTGGAATATGTAAAGAGTTTTCTCCAGTGATTTTAACTGAAGTACTTGCTTTTAATAGAGTCAGTTAAAATTTAGGATTCATGGATAGATTTTTGGAATAAAAACAATAAATATGGAAAATATTGCACAGACAATCAGTTATGTGATGCAAGAAAAGAGGATTAGCAAAGACTAAAGCACATTTCTCTACCATTACTCCATCAGCTTAAAAAAATTTAGAGCTCTCTGGTAATTTCTTACTTCTTCCTCTTTGATTAAAACAACCTGAACTGGGGCCGGGGATTTGGCTCAGTGGTTCCGGCCCCTGCCTTGCAAGTGCAAGGACCTGAGTTTTGTTGTGTCCAGATTGTGAAGTCCCAGAGACCACCAGGAGGCCGTTTCCGATGTAAGCACACAAGGGTCGTTTATTTAAGCTTAAGCAGGGACTCTCAACTGTCACCGACACAGCGGATCGAGATTGAGAGCCCTGAGTCCCTAACTAGCAGGGTTTTTATTGAGAATACAACAAGCTTTGGTTATTAGTAGCCAGGTGATTGGTTAATATTCAATACATATGAAGTGTAGGGTTTTGGTTGGCTAGGCTTTGGGGGTCGAAGGGGATTACGTATTGGTTTTTGTGAGGGAGAAAAGGGGCAAAGATTAACGGCCGGTTGTTACATACTGATCGTTAGCAGACCCACTAATGGCCGCATCTATCTTGTGTGGACAGTCAGCTCATTAACTGCTTATCCTACAGATAGTGTGCCTGGAATGCTCTCTCCCCGGGTACACAGGTGGTTGGGTAATAAACTCAGGAATTTCAAGTGGTGAATTCCTAGTTTAAGCACAAATTTGAGAGAACAAAGGAGACGGCTCCAAAATGGAGTCATTTTGGTCCCACAGTTTGATCCCCGGTACCAAAACAAAACAAAACAAAACAAAAACAACCCAAACTGTGGGCAGCTACATTTCCTCCCCCAGTCATTTTTCTTTATGTAGAGACAATAGCATGCACACACTTTGTAACTTTTCTGTTCGTAGCATAAAAGAGAGAATCCTATGGGATATGCGAGCCCATTCTGCTGTCACAGTGACAGCACAAAGCTCAGCAACTCTCCCTTCGATGGCCAGGGTTTGTGTGTCTTTTTCCAGCAGGAGTGAGTAGGTTTGCTGTGTTTCTCTTACTGCTGGGTGTTTAAGATGTTATAGTGTTTTACACTTGAAAAGAATAAATATTTGCTGTATTGATTACTTAGTAGTTTCACTTCGAGATTATGGAACAGTATGCTAAAGTCTTTTGTTTAAAAGCAAAGAATTTTGATAAAATGCTGACATCTGGTCCTGTTATCTTGATGCATCTTCCATCCCGAGGCAGTACCAAGTGGACTGGTGTGAAGAGAGTAAGGAACAACATTATCAGGCCATGGGTTTGAACTGGAAGCCATTCATACTTGATTTTAGGGCTTGGTATATTTTGGTTTTAAGATAAAATGGGAAAAAATGACAGAAGTGGTCCCTATGCATTTATTTTCATGAATATCTGTAATTTTATGGGCATGCCTAACAAGGAACCATGTTCTAACTGGCAATTAGGGTTTATTTTAGATATAGGAGTGTAGCTTTATTACAGATGGATTTTATCTACGGACACTGTGTTGTGATCAACTTTGTATAGTCATGTGTATTAAAATTCTGTGCACTAAATGTTTTGCCCTTCTTTGCTATTATACGCTCATGGCATTTATCAGCACTATTCTTATTGACTCAGGTAAATGGCTAAGTTAGTGAAAATTATTTCCTATTTTCTGCCTAAGTAAATTTGTTTTCTAGTATTTCATTAATTTATTTTTGGCTCCCTTTTCTTTCTTTTTTTTTTAAGGACAACATTTTATTGCTACCAGAGGTTTTTATCATCGGTACATGGTTCTGACTGCAATACCTTCTTCAAACTGCAAAGGGAGCTCAGGGTCCATGTCATTAAGGGAATTCTAGACAAGTTATGAGACAGGGAATAATTTTTATCAGAAAATCCTAACAGCTTAATGTAAAATGAGGGTTCTGAATTACATGTTACAGACTCAAATCAGAGCTGCCCCAACATCTAGACAGACTCCTACTGATTACCAATGAGTGAAAACAGATCAGTTACAAAAATTTAATGATGTTACAGATAGGATTCTTTGGTGAGCTCCTGGATATATTAACTTTGTCACAAATTCTTTCATACAAATGTCAAAAATGATTTCAACAGATCTATGTGTTCTAGTTACATGCCCTTTTAAAGTTTAAGATAAAGCAGTAATTTTGCTTTTAAACTCTGAAAGTTGAAATGAGAAACAAAATCCATGTGGTTATGTGAGAACTTTGTCTATTATCACCGCTGATTCATCTGGATAATTCCAAAGTACACTTTCCACACTAACTGGAATCTAAACCATGGATTAAATACGGCAGTCACACTAACTTTGCTTAAAAAAACAAAAAAACT